AATCTGAATCAGCTGCATGTTTTGCTCAACTGCTAATGCTCTCCACATGTTCTTCCCTCTCAAACTAAAAAATGTTTTCTATTAGAAATGCCTAACATCATACAGAGAACTGCAAAATGCCCCTCAGACAACACAAAGTATCTCTCTCTCTTTAGTAATTCATTTCAGCATATAAATCACAACTTGCCCAAATGAAGAGCTCAAAGAAAAACCTATTGTCAAATCAAGGATACTGTAAGGGCAGGTTTTAAATTAGACTCTTCTTATTGCATTTTGGAGATTCTCTTACCTCCTACAAAAAATGTTTATTTTAAATTCAATACATTATTTTCTGGAAAGATTTTTTTTTTCTTTTTAAACCAACAAGGAGCTTCTAGAGGAACTTCATGGTTTTCTCAATATCGCTTTGTTCCCTACACTGCAAACATACATAACATACATACACCAAATACAATAATAAGATTATAATTCAGGAAGAAGCATCTCAAGTGAGAAAGCATCAGCAACATGGGTGGCAGACAAAAGCTTAACTACGCCCTCCGATTATGAAATAAGTTTTCTTAACCAGGATCATACTATTCCCTGCAACAAAAATACTAGATACAGTTATTGACTTGAAACTGGGTTTGGTTTTCAGGAAAGTGTCATGCTTCCACAGGGAAGGAACTTGTGCCTTAAGCACTTGTTACTTGAAACAGGTCATACAGGAAGGTTCAATACACAAATGCATGGTTGCAGGACCTAACCTTATGTGCTGTACTACATGCAACAAGTCAATGTAATGGATAACAGAAGGGAAGAGCGTACATGGAAAACAGCACTAGCTGCATTTTTTACCCATTAAAGGGCAAATTAAAACAGCTGGCTTCCACTAGCTTTGTAGAAAAAAAGCAGCTACCAGTTCCCTTGGGTGTCACAGAACACATAAAGCTCAAGAAGGCATTTATGGATGTTTCAGAAGGTGTATCAAGAGCAAAAAAGACAACTCAAAGAGTTGCGTAGGAAGAACTGGTGCTAACCTGCTAGTTACAGCCCATGCCCTAATACGAGGGCTTAGAAACAGATGGCTACAGGCCTGTATGGCAGCTCTGATAACCAATGTTCAGGAGTAATCCACTGCTGAGCACTAGGGTAAGAAGAGGGAAGCATAGGTATGCTCTAAATCACTTAGGCACTGCACTTCAGGAAATCCTGAATATACTCACATGTTGCTTAGGGACCACATGGATCCAAACGATGGACGCTGTTACACACAAATATCTATGCAAGGCATTATTTTTAAGATAAAGAAAAGCAATGCCGTGCATAAATACAGGTAGGAGCTATAACTATATCCAGAAATTCTTATTTTATAATGGAAAAATATTTTAAATGATTAACTGAGTCACTTAAAGAAGTAATAATCTTTAAAATCCACCTTGCAATATTTAGTGTCCTTCAAAGCTTCGGTATCTGACCCATCACACGCCAACACATGAATCCAGAGTTACATAAGCCTACTTTGTTGTTTGCATTCTTTTTGTATTATGTGGTATTAACACCTAAAGCTTATGACAATTTTTTTTGGCAACAGCACTAAGTTGTCATGGGTCCAGTCCCAGCTTCACTCTCAACATTGAGAACAACACTCCTGGTTCACCCATCATGGGCGTAAATGTTTCAAGATAGGAAGCAGGACTCCCTCATGGCAGCATATACAGAGGCATAAGAACAAACAGCACCTTTTCCCTCAGAGACTATTACTGACTGAGAGAAAAAACTACACAGCAGCAGCAACACAGACATACGAAGCACAAATAAGCAGGTAGCAGATGTTGGGACAAACAGAGCTGCCTAGTGGCACAGCAAAACTAACAGGTCGCTGTCCAGGAACACTGGATCTCTAGAACTTCAGCATCAAAGAGTTGCTCTGGCTTAGCTCTTCCAACTAGTTCCAGGGGCAAAAGTTTCTGGCAGTGGTGGTCGGCTTTTAAAGCTACAGCCTTGACACACTGCACTTTATTGAGGCTTTGAATGAGCCCTGTAAATGTTAAATACATACAAATTAAAATTACATTAAAATACAACCAAACAAAAATAAGAGAAGTTACAAAGGCTGCCAAGAATACCAGAAAACCTTTTCCCACAGGGTATTAACTCACAATAAATCTAATTGGAATAAAAGGCCAAATTTGGCAGACGTGGGAAGAAAAAAAAGCAACTGATGCTGCTATGCAACCTCAGGATGATTTGCCTCTACAGGAAGATCTGAGGACTTTTCACTTCAACAGGTGACAAGTTTATAGCTACAATTTTCAACTTATATTCTATGAATGAAACTGGCATAAATAGCAGTCTTTTTGTATATAAGAACATCGTAAGCACTTCAGCTTGTATAAAAACAACTCTCAATGTTATCTTTGAAGTTTTATTTAAATTACTCACGACAGCTTAATCTGGATTAAACTAAAATGGGAAAACAGCTATACTTAAACCAAAGTTCGTTCCTTGATGCAGAAAGCCCTTAGTCTGAACATATGACAAGAACTCAAATTAAGTGACAGCAAAATATATGCATTAAATTGAGAGATGCTTAGGCACATTTGTCATCTGATACGACAGAAAAGACTTCATATTTGCTAACAATTTCCACCCTCAAGACACTAAACAAAAGGAGTTTTTGTAAAAAATTGCCTCTATTTGACATGGGACTAGCTACAGTTTCCTGTGGCTCAAAATATTGGTCTGTACTCAATACATCATCTGACACCAAAATCCAATGAATTCCCAGGAGAGAAGAAGCCACTAATGATGGAAAATTTGATTGGGACATTTGAATATAACCACTTTATTTCCCACAGATTAAAAACTACATAGCACAAGACAAGAAAAACGCTGGTAGTTTCCAAAGGGGAGTTGTCACAACAGGAAAGCTATTTCTTTACACCTCCCGTCAGCATTTTAAAGCAAAGTAAAACCTTTAGTACAACAATCTTAGCAGGCTCTGTGGCAAAGGCCTGAAGAACAAACTACATCATCTCCCAAAACTGTCCTCCACAGCCAGTATCATTTCTAACCACAGCATTTTCCAGGCTGATAGTGAAGACTATTGTAATTCCCATACAGGTGGGTGGGACTGAGAGAAAATAGCCAAAGCAAGATGTTTTTATTCCACGTAACACCAGCTCAGATTGCTCTCGCTCCTGGCTTCTACTCCAGACATGCAACATATCTTTTAGCATCAAAACTTAATCCTTGGATTCAGAAAGAAAAAGGAAAAAAAAAAAAAAAAAAAAAAAAAAAAGACATAGCAGGCAGCTGCTGTGAGAATAGGCACAAGGTCAAGCAAGTACCCAGTGCCAGGGAAACCCCTTCCTACTGCCTGGCACATGCAAAGGGCACGTGCAGTTCATCCAACCCAGGCAGCACTCTGAACGGTAGGGAGAACTGCCCAACAGTCTCACACTAAGACAGAACAAAAAGAAAAGATACTTTTAATGTGTAAAAATGAAAAAGAAAAGAATCTACATCAAAATCAGCCATAGGGCGAAACAAAAGCTCATCCCCAAAATCCAGACTTCAGAAGGAGAGCTGGAAATTAAAAGCAGATCTTGCACTTGGCTTTTATGCCTACGATGAAGCATGCCAAAGTTCACATGCAAACACACCTCAGCTCTGAGGACTTTAAAAGCTGGATGCATGTTTTGCATCCTGGCTTCCTCCATGCACAGCATTAAATGCATTGCTGCTGTCACAGCACAACAGCAGCACATTTTCCTACGAGAACAATTAGGAAAATGTATGTGGAGTAACATCTCTTATGACCTTCAGTACACATGAATACAAACAGACAGAAATGTAGCACCTGTACCTGGAAACTCAAAATTTAGTGCTTTAATTCCTAGACTGTTGCACTTTGGCCACATTTAAAAAAAAAAAAAATACTTTAAAAACAAACAAACAAAAACACTCAATCCAGGAAACACATACATTTTTCTCTTGCTGAAGTGGTCTGTTTTACTAAAGATATGCCCATGCTTCACCAGAACAAACCTCTCTCAATTGTTTTTCATTTAATTTGTTTTTATAAAATGGTTCTGGACTTCCCTTCATCTCCTGTAATATGTAAGAGCTTAGATTTACTCCACTGCAGTCCCTCAAATCAATACTAGTGAAGATCAGCTGTCTCTCATGATGAAGTCTAGAGAGTGCTCTCAATGGGAAGTATTTGAGGAATTCTGTAGGTTGCCTATGCTCCATTCAAAATCCCATAAATGCCATTTCACAATGTGTCCCAGAGGCAGGGGAAAGAAGTTTAGTTGTGTTTGAAGCCTGACCCCTCCAACAACAGTAACATCATAGAAATACTACTTTCTTCTTTAAAGTAAACAATCTTTTTTAATATATTTATATACATACATGCACGTTACAGGGTGTTTGCATATTTACATTTATGTAACATGTATGCACATAACACAAATATATAATATATAATTTAAATCAACTAGACTGCATCTGTACGCGTGTGTGTATATATCAATGTTTCAGCTATGACCTCTTGAAATAAGTCATAAGCCAGAAGTTAGGTTGTTGAAATCAATTATTATGAAAAGGCTTAAAACAAAAGCAAACTAAGATTCATGCTTTAGGGGGGAAAAAAGGTCACAAAAAAAACAGTACTTCCAAGACACTGGCAAAATCCCTTCCCAATTCAGGGCACAATCTTATTCAAATGCATATAAAGGCAGTGGCAGAACAGATCATTCAAGTTCCTCTAAAACATCTCAAATATCACACTGCTGCAACACACAATGTTATCCTTTCCAAGGCCATTTAATATATTCTGATAGTAACATGACCAATATAGCTTAACATTACCAAACAGGAAACATGTAAAAAATATTGGTGCATCATCCTTCACTTAGAACATCATGAGATTGGTTCATATACCCCAAATTTGTTTCTCAGAGGTCTGTTTTGTTTAATCATCCTTTTCTCTAAGCATATGGAACTTCACTTACCAATGCAGGCATGGACTCTCACTGAGAGCTGGGTCCTCAGAATCATACTGTGCTTCTTGCCTCTCCTAAAAAAAGAGAGGGAGAGGGAGGGAAGAGAAAAGACACACATAAAGATGAGTGATCTGAAATTCAAGCACATTTCACCATTCTCTAAAATCTACATTATAGTAGTATCAAGTGTTACTATTTCAATAATAATTTAATTTTCATAAGATTTTAAGGCTAGACATAGTCAAGTATGAAAAGAAAATGCAAGGGCAACTAAACATCTAGAAATCTGCTGACACGCACTAGCTGATCTTTAAAACACAAGGAAAAAAAACATGTTCTTCATGGAATGAGGCAAAGTTAAGGAACGTCCCTCACTCGGGCATGGTCTATACAGTCTTGAGTAGAACAGCTTCATCTCAGTTTCCTGCTATATTCATTATTTGTTTTGCAGGCAAGTTAGTCTTAGACATATCTTTTCACCTGGAAAAGCATGTTGTACTTGACAACTAGGTGCTCCATAAACTGGGACCGGGACACAAGCAGCACCTCACCTCTGCTCCCAAACTTGCTCGCTTGATGCACGTGGAGGGTAACAAATGCCAGAGATTTTTTCCAGAGGTATAGCAGTGTGCTCTCCTACTTTTCTGAAACCACACATGCAAACTACCTTCACAGAACAAGCAAAAAGAAACAGTTTCCAGAACTTGCTCAAATACAGTTTAGTTCGTGCCATGCTAACCCTAGACCTAGTTCTACATAACAATTATAACATGCTTTACTTACAGTTTAAAAAGTTGACTTGAAATCAAATTGCTCTGTATAAGTTCTGCTTGGACAGAAGTAGGAAAAAGCTTGAAAAATTTGAGAATTCCCTTAAGACCGTTCTTGGTTTGTAGGTTTTTTTGAAATGCCAAGCAGCAACAGCAATGCTGTACCCCCACAAGAGTTGTCTGCTGTCTGGATTTTAAGCATTTTCCTGGAAAAAATCCAGCATTAGACCTGACTCTCTGCTTGCTTAAACTCCTCCTGAAGTTTCAGTTGGACACAACATTTTCCTGTGCCTTGTGTCTGCCCAGTTGCTAACTGCTGTCCCATCCCACAAGGGTACCAGGACTCCCAGGCCATGCTTCATTCCCAAAGTACTTGAGACTAATACTGGTGGTGTCACTTGTTGAGAATATCGCTCACCTGCCCAGGATCTGCTATGCTCCCACTGTGCTACACGGCAGTCCGTAGAAAGCTGGCTAAAATAAAACGGGTTCTTTTCCCACCTCATCATTAGTACTTGAGAAAAATGGATGAGATTTCTCTTACGGAAACAGAAGGAAATAGTTCAGCGATTAGGGTGCTCATTTGGGACACAGAAGAACTCATTTTCAATTTCCCTGTTTTACCACAGGTTCCCTGTACGACTGCAAGTAACTTAAGGCTAAACCACAAAGGTGTATACCAAATTAAAAGTCAGACCTCAAATACTCTGAGGATATGAATTTAGTTTCTCTATGCCTTAGACTCCTGTGTGTAAAACAAGGAGAAAAGCAATTGCTTATTGCATGATTCTGTTAGGACTTGGGTATTACTCAGCTCTTAGAAACATAACTACAATTTAAGCACTTCACAATCTTTGCAGGGAGCCTCTGCAAGTCCCTTTAAAGGATACTTATCTATTACCAAAAAAAAAAAAAAACAGTGAAGAATAACAGAATAACAGACTAGAAGGAAAAAAAACAGCAAAAACAGCAAAAAAGAACAGTTATTATACTATTAATTTTCAGAAGCTAATTTGTAGTAGAATATTTTAACTAGCAATGTGATCTGTCTCTATGCAATCAAACACTAGAATAGAAAACTGCATCTTCAAAAATAAGGCCCTAAAATGCTCCAGCATTTTTGCTGGAAGTCAGTGATGCAGTGACAGCAAGGGCTTTGAGCAGAAGCAAGCAAAGTGCGTACACTCCTGAAAGGAAACCACGAACAGCTCTGCTCTGTGCACCAACGCAGTGCCTGCTGGGGAGCTGCGGTAGCGAGAGGAACCACCAGCACAGGAGAAACCTGGAGATACTTCTCACTTTTGACTGAACCATTAAGGAATCCCTACAGATTCACACTTGGATTTACTAAGCTCCCCACAGCCCTCACCACACACCTTCCACCTTACGTTTGTTAACATGACTTCTCTTCCACGACCATCTTATGCCTGGATTTTTGCTCTTACCAGACCACAGAACATGGGGGCTGGGAGAGAGTTAAATTTTTTTATAAAGGATCATCTGAAAATCCTGTATTGCATTGAAACATCACAGAATAACAGATCCAAAGAGAATATTTCATGGAAAGTCTATCATTGTATATATGACTTAAAATAAGCACAAGATGCTGGGGCTCTAAAGCCAGCCTGGAAAAGGAAAAAAAAAAAAAAAGCCAGATTGAAGTCTAAGCCATGCAAAGTTGCCTTCTAAGACTTTTATCAACAGCTGTAGCACAGAAAGGAAGAAAAGGATATTTACTCTTAAATCTTGCCGTAAGGTTACCAGTTTAAAAAATAAAAAACTATTACGTCACTATATAATCCCTGCATATAAGAAATTTCCCAAGGGAGCATTTGCAACCTCTCCAGCTTGAGGTCAATATGCTAATTCCAAGAAAAGAGGAAAAAAATTGGAAGAAAGGAAATGAAGAACACACAATCATGGAACCAAAGGTCCCAGTAAAGTGGTGTTAGTGACAAAAAGGGAAGCACAGAGAAACAAACTCACTCAGAACTCTGGAGTGCTCTGAATTATGGGCACTTCCAAAGGATACTCAATCAAAAATCCAGCTACTAGGCTGCCCAGGTAAAGAAGCTTCATGGGGCCTTTCATTCTGCAGGATGCGGGGGTTTTGGCTTTTGCCAAAACAGCAATCTTGCCCACAGATTGGAACAGGGACAGGCCACTTGGGAGGAACACAAGGACATCATCTGCATACCCAGGGAGGGAGATAGTAAGGCCAAAGACCATCTGCAGTTTAATTTGGCAAGAGATGTCAAGCACAACAAGAAGGGCTTCTTTAAATACACTGGTAACAAAAGGAAGACCAGGGAAATATGGAACCACTGCTGGATGGGGCAGGGACTGAGGTAACAAAGAACACAGAAAAGGCTGAGGTACTGAATGCTGCCTTTGCTTCGGTCTTCACTGATCAGATCAGCCCTCAGAAATCCCAGGCCCTGGAGACCAGGCAGAAAGGAAAACTCTCCCCCGTTGGGGCAGGATCAGGCTAGGGAGTGCTTAAGCAAACTGGATGTCTGCAATCCCATGGGCCCTGATGGGATGCACCCATGAGTGCTCAGAGGGCTGGTGGATGTTGCTGTAAGGCCACTTGTCTCTGATGGCAAAGTCTCTCCATCATATCTGAAAGGGCATGTAAGGTCATATTGATTGGAGAGGTGCTAGGTGCTTGAGGACCGGAAGAAACCAGTATCATTTCAGTCTTATAGAAAGGGGAGCAAGAAGGAAGACCCAAAGAACTACAGCCCTGTCAGCCTCACCTCCATTTCTAGAAAGGTGATGGAGCAGGTTGTCCTGGATACAATTTCCAGGCATATGAAGAAGGTGATCAGGATTTGTCAGCATGGATTCGCTTAGGGGAAAATCCAGCTTAAATGACTTGATAGCCTTCTCTGATTGAATGACTGACTGGGTAGATGAAAGGATGAAAAATATTCTTGTCTTTTTATTTTTTCCCCTCAGTTTCACAGATTGGCTAGAAGCAGATAAGCTAACTTTCAGTTTCCAGTATCAAAAAATAACATTAAAATTAGAATTAGCTTCTAGGAATGACCATATGCCCCAGCAGTAATCCAGGAGGCACTTAAACATATGGAATATGCAAACAAGTGAGAAAAGGCAGTAAAATGTCCCTGTAGAGAGACTGCAAAATTGTGGGGAGCAGAGGGAGGGGCTAGTATGGGATATCACAGTAGCAGAGGCTTATTTCAGCTGTCAGCACACATGTAACCGTATGCTCCTAAAGCCTTCCTGAGATGAGGCCATTACACTGAAATTTAGCAATAAAAGCCATTGTAACCACTACGCTGCATCGTTCATAATTTCCACTTGCAACCCACCACATAATCCACTCTTTTTTTCCCCCCAAAGAATTCAGTCACACAACTCAAATTTTTCAGTGACATAAATCCCCAAAGATATTACAATAAGCTCCTCAAAATAGGAATGAATATACAACAGTCTATTAGTTCTCATTTAATTTTATATTGAAAGGATCTACAAACAATGGGAAGTAGAGAGTATTTTACTACCACAGTGAATAGAAGCTAAAAATAAAATTGACGACATTGGTAGATATACCCAATTAATGAGGTCTTGCCTTTCTCACTAGGGTCAAAAATAACCTGGAAGTGTCAAAACCTACCCTATCTGTGAAAGTCCCCTCTTTCTACTTCTGTGAAGCAGCTGTTCTCTGAGCAGTTTTAAAGGCTGAAACCACAAGACATCATAAGGCAACTTGATTCCAGTTTCCTTATAAATGCTGCAGGGCCGTTCTTCATACTTTCATATATTATTCACCAAAAATTCCAATTTTAAATACAGAAAGAACACAGCTGGATACCTTCTGGTGAGCATTAGAAAAGCCCCGTAGAATGAAGAAGCAGAACTGGAACCCAGCTTGCCACAAAACATGTAAGGTCTCTCCCAGTGTGAGCAGAAATGCTGCTACTGAGGGTCGCTTTTGGTTACGTTTTCAACTGGATTCAATCCTTTCAGATGACTGTATTTTCTCTGAAGTGACTGTTTACAGAGTATAAGCTAACAGTGTTATACAAAAAGCATTCAATGTTGCTTTTAAATCCTTTCCAAGAACCCTTTCTCATACTGCTCTAGGACTCCTTTTTCCTATCTCCCATAACCTGGGAGCAAGACCATTTCAAATACCTCAGAACTCCAAACTGAAGTCCTCTCTAACATCACAACTCTGAACATATTGCAACCTTCTTATTTGCTTTATCTTAGCATAAGTTTAAGGACCATCACTGATCTGAGGTGCAAATTGTGGTATTTCAAACATCCAAAAT